GTCTCAGTTCGCGATTCTAAAAAATGTCTTGGCAGTCAATCAGGTCAGTTCACTACCTCCAGACTGACAGTTTGAACCGCAAAGATGAACTGACAACTGACTGATTGACTGATAGCAACTCTGGTACCGTTTCATAAGCTCGTCGTGAGAGCTCACTGCCGGGCCGAAATCGTTTTTCGGTGAGATAGCTGTGCACGAACTCTAGTTGCTTCGGTGTGAGTTTCCGGAGATACCGTATTGGTACTGGATGGACGGAGTGCAGAGCTAGACTTTGATCTGTTGGTACGTGCTCAGCTCGCTTGTCAAGGTTTCCAGAGGCAGCTGTGATGTATCTGTGAACCGAGGTAGATCCTGAAGAGAGAGTAGATGCGGTCGTGCTGTTTGAGGATATCGGTAAATCGACACAGAAGTAGTATGGCGAGGCACGCATTTGATTGACTGTCTGGTATTGATTCCATGCAGCAAGGATTATGTTTTCGTGCTCTGCTTGTTGTAGTGGCTCTACTTTTGAAGAGTGTGAGTAAGAATACAGGGACGAATTAGGCGACAGCCGAACTCTAGTCGGATTTGCTTCCTGCGATTCTGGAGAGGCATTTGCTGCGAGGCTGCTATCTGTAATTAGCGCTGCAGAAGGCAAAGAAGCTCTCCCGAGAACTGCACAAGCAGTTTCTACTGGCGGGTTGTTGACGTCGATGTGGTACATTATAATGGATGATGATAAATGAGGGTAAGAGTGAGAAAGAATACAGCAGCAAGTGGAAAGTAAATGGCTATGGAAACGAAAAGTGTGTCACTTATGGGGATAATTTAACCAAAGCTATTGAACTAGCCAGTACGATCAGCTTTTCCATCAATTCTAGTACTTCAGCTTGTCACCAAATATACACTTCAGCATCTCTGCGTTAGCAATCGTGCTGTACTCACGCGTTTTCTTTATTTTGGTAACAGTGTCATTGGTCAGGTTCATGCAGGTTGTCAAGCAAACTATAGACTATTTTTGCCCACATAGGCTAAAGACGAATCCAATGCTATTACTAAAACAGAGGTTGATATGAACAAGAAAGCACGACATCATGATTTAGAGCAAGATTACCTCAGAGTTCTTCAGCCTGGAATGTACTTACCACCACTACCACCGCCGAAACCATCTATATTAAAATCAGTCTCTGTGTTTGTGCTTCTTGATGCTTGACTTACTCTTCTTCTTCCAGCTTTTTTGTTCGTGGGGATATATGGAACCGTCCTCGTCGTAAGCTCTCTTATTCATGTCGTCCAAGAGTATGTTCGCTGCCCACTTTATCTCGACCAAACGTTTCTCTGCGTGCTTCCTCGTAGCTTCCTCGGTAGCATTGTCAACAGAAGTCTGATGGATTCTGTTCAGTACCCTTTGAGTGGTTTCAATATCTTTTACCGGTGTTCGCTCTCTGTCGGGTAGACCAATAAGCTTGTATGGATCTTGCCTCTTTTCTTCGTCGCTATCGGAATCATCGTCATCGCTGTCAGAGATGATGTGCTTTGGTAGAGTGGCAACAGACCCCTGGGTTTCTGTGTTCTCTAGTAGCTTTTGCTGTCTGTGATTGTCATCTGGCATGTCATCTTCATCAAAATGCCAGTGACCCTCCTGTTTATCTTTCCCCTCGAGTAACCCACGCTCCCCATACCCTCTCTCGAATGTCCTATCGGTGGAACCCCGGCGCATCTGGATGTCCTCATAGCTAAAACTTCTTATTTCCCACTCATTGGTCCGACTTTTGGAGTCATTGTACGATGGCTGCCTGCCCTGTGCCCTCTTCGCAGCTGCTTCCCGACGCCTTTCTTCAATTCTTCTTTCCGAATCACGTTTCTCCTGTTCTGCTTTCTGCATCATCTCACGCGCTTGATGCTGTAGTTCGTCTGCCCTGCTCACTGCTTCATCCGTGCGCATTAGCATATCTTCTTTCCTCTCGTTTTCGATTCTAGTCTTCTCAAGTCTTTGTCGTGCCTCTTCGAGCTTACGAGCGCTCTCTTTCTCCATTTCAATAGCTTTATTCTTCTCAGCTTCTAGCTCCACCCTTGCCTTGAGTGCTAACTCGTCGGCATACCTGTTCTTCATTTTCTCGTTATGCTCATTTTCCGCGTTGAACCTGTCCAGAAACCTCTCGTGTTTGTCTAGATCCGACGATGCTTGCTGTTTATCGGCAATCTTGGCTCCCTTTTGGCGCTCTATGATGTCCTGACTTTGGGCCTGGCCCATCATTGGCGTCGCTACTTTTTGGGGATACTCGATAGCCTGTTGATGTTGCGGTATAGTTAAGAGATGCTGTTGCTGCATTTGTTGGAGGAAGTATCGGTGGCCCTGGCCTAGCTGGAGGAACGCCCAGCCGCCGTAATCATCGAATACCAATTCCAAAATGTTTTGAACCGTCATCATCATACATGCAGTTTTAATTGGATCCCTGTGGTTTTTCTGACGCCATTGGACTTTGTCCAGCAGGACCTGGAAACCGCTAATTAAGTCATCGTGCAGTCGCATCAAATCACTAATCCCGATCGGATGAGGACCGTCCACGACGGTGATGTTGCCGGAATAACGACGTCTGACAAACATGTTGCTTTAACACAAGGTACACTAGATTCAAAAATGATGGGGAAAATGTGATGATGGACAGTAGAGTGGAGAGTGAGATAGCAAGAGCAAGCGCATAGGAAGCTGCGCTTTTGTACTGCGAGTATACTGTGGGTGTCTTGCTCGACAAGTGAAGGCCATTAGCAGAGTGCATTGAAGACATAACGTCAATGCATTCGCATAGCAATCAAGGCTTACAACAAAATCACCTTGTGCAAACGTGTTTATCATACATGTTCTGACACTGATGTCACTACTACTAAGCATTAATTCATACGGCCAACATCACCAGCACAACTAAATTGGGTGCGAGTATGATAAGCCTCTACCAAACTTAACTCGAGCATTGTCTATGAGAGGCGTAAGCTTTGAAGTGTCTGTGGACACTGATTATCCGATAGTGACGTTACGCATATATGTACGATAGCCTTCGATCATATCAATCCCAATGCTCAGCTTTCAATCCCGTCAAGTCTTATCCAGTAAGAAAACAACTTCAATTTGATCAAGACACTACTCCTTGCTTCGTACATCTTCATGCCTGGTTTGGGCTTCATCATGCACACTCTATCGAATCACCTATTCCCTCATCCGACCCGGGCTAAGCGGCTCCTACTTGACGCCAAACTTCTCCTTCCATTCCTGAAATTCTCTATCACTCTTCTCCTGTTCTGTCTCGTCACGCTCTTCGACGATATTGCCCCACTGATCACGGAATCTGAGTCGCTTGGGAAGTTCAGGTTGCATGAGGGAAGCAGCAGGCTGGGGGGTCTGCATAGTCTGGAAGGTAATATTTGGCGACGGAGCTTGGATGGTCTGAATAGCGATGTTGGGCTGGAGCGCCGGAAGGTTGATAACTCTCTGCTGTACAGTCTGTCCGATGACGAAATCTGGGGACGCGCGACGCAGGAAACCCAAGTCGCCCGAATCTTCTAGCCTGATATTCCACGCATCCAACATATTAGAACCGAGTAAATCCCTCCCCTGAAGAACGCGCCTGATTCTGCGCTGCGTCAGGCGCACGTCACTCAAGAGACCGGAAGGTATGCCTCCGTTGTTGAATGCCCTGTCGATTTGATTGTAGACGCTCCTAAGCTCGGAACTCGAGCAGGACCCCAGGTGCTCCAAGTCCCAAGGATGTTCCCAATGGAAAATAGAAGGACTGTAGGAACGGAAACGAGACATTTCAAATGTGCGTACCCAGTGTTGTTCGAGGTTTCGTTATGTTTCAGCGAGTACAGACTATCTTTGCTGCAGGAGGATATCGAGTTTTGGCTTGTAGATTATGGTAGTATGTAGCAAGGAAAATCATAGTGCGGAGATTTTATATGCTATAAGCCTGACCATGAATGGCGACATGCATGTCAAAGTCTCGAATGCCGGGATTGCCACGCGTGTGTAATCTTTGGACAACATCACGCTAGATCACTATCACAACCTCATATGTGAATATCACGATAAAATTCTAAACCTTGATACCCTTCAATGCACACCTTGGGCAGTGACGAAGTTGTGATGTTATAGTTCCTAGTAAATAGCTGTATGACTGCCTCTTTGTCGCTGAAGAAATAATCGCTTTTGACGTCGTTGGCATGTACATGCCGCTCATGATTTCCAATCACACAAATCCATCACACGAGTTTGATCATCTACCATGATCGAAGACGGCGCAAATTTGGAGCTGAGGGAGATGATTGAGTCGATGAAACAGACTATTCCCCATGTTTTCCTGTTGTCTTGATGTATTGATTGTGTATTGTTCTTCGAGTCAGTCGCCAACTGTATTTGATGAACACGAGCGCGCATCAGATTGGATCATTCTATAAATATTTGCTTGGTACAAGATCAGTGATTTCGGTTTTATGTTACTAAAGAGCCAACATATTATTCAACATCTTTGTCATCGCCGTCACCCACCTACAATTCCCATCCACAGACAGGTCAAAGACACCCATCAAACTCAATCACTGTCATCACTATAGTATAGCAGTCCCTGGTTGCGCAGTCTCCTACGACGACTAAGGTATACAATCCTTGGGCTGTCAAATGGTTCAATCAGAATATTCTGCACCGGTGCAGATGCCAAAGTAAGCGTAGACACTGGAGTGGTGATGTTGAATGACTGAGGCTGCTGTTGTGGGTGATAGAGAATGCTCTGTTGGAGTGGAGCCTGTTGCTGATACATGAGACCCTGCTGTATGGACTGTGGCATAGGCTGTTGTTGAGCGAAGGGTACCATGGTGAATGCTTCCTGAGCTGGCTGCTGAATTTGCAGTTGCGACTGTACTTGCTGTCGCTCGATGATGTCTTGCCGTAGCTGCGCTGGTGCTGGTGATGGCGCTGACAGCTGCATGTTGATGCTTCCACCACCTCCTGTTGCTCCAATGAGCTTCCTCGCGCCGTGCTGCTGAAGTCGCTCCTGAATCCTGCTCGCTGTAACTCGAACCCTCCTACGAACGTCATCGTCTTGGGTGCGCTCTTGCAGGTAGTAGTACATTTTATTGTGTACCGAAAGAAGTTCTTCTAGTGGCAACATTTAGTAGATTATGAAAGGCAGATGGGTCTGTTTTGTTGCAGTTCTTGGGCTGCAGAATTCGATTTCTTCGTTGAGCTGTTCCTCTGATGATGAGGAGAAAATGTTAGTGTGGAGCTCAACAGCAGAAAATGAGAGACTGGATATCCGCTGTCTGACCGATCATGCCGCCGGTCCAGGAAGCTGTGAATACCAATCTGGTTGAACGCTACCATGTGTTCAACGGCTGTGGGTACGAACAGGGCTGCGCAAAGTGTACGTGCCAATAATGCACACTGCACCAGCTGCTCGCGATTCCTTTGTGACCATGGTAAATAGCAACAAAGCGTTTCTTCACAGTAGGCAGCACTGATGTTGCATTTGTGATAACACATCTCCTACGTGTTTTCTTGTCACGTCAGCGAGCCATCACAGATTTGCGACTTACATTACAAGACCAAACCCTATTTCTCGCACATCTCCCACTCCAATCATCCAACTATCCTTCCACACCCAATTCATATTCAACCTCCAGGGTCTCGAAATACCCAATACCACAACATAAGCACATCATCAATTGTCTAGAATGTCATCCTCTTTAGCCCTTCACGCTTTTACCCATCCCCACCCCTGGGACCCGTCTGCTATCCGCCTCTCACCCACTCCCTCACTCATCTCTGCTCAAGCTTCAATAACACATCAGCTCTACATCTTGGATTGCCGCGGCCATGACGCGCGTGAAATGCAAAGAACATTGAACTATATTACAGCCGAGCTGCGGATACGAGAAGTTGAAAATCTTGCTTTGGCAGAAGCTAACCGCAAGGACGCAAGTGAAGAGAGCAATGGGAATAATAGAATCGATGAAGAGAAGAACAAAGACCTGAGTGAGTTCAAGTCAGGAAGCTGGATCAAGAAGAAAGATGGAGGTGCGAGGATGAGGGAGATGGAAGACGAAGATAAGCGCTGGGAAAAGGAGAGTGGTGGTAATCCTCGATGGGGTGAGGGTAGGACGGCACATCTGTACGGCAAGTAGACATTCACGTTGGTGACACTGAGCGTCTTTGAATTGAAGAGGTAGAAATGAATCGAAATCCTGTAATGCGCTATCAAGTAATATGTGATACACGTTGCGATCCAGTATTGCTTGGGTATCATTGTTAGTTATGACATACCTGTACGCCTGCAAATGCCCAAATTGCTGAGACGCTATGCTAAATCAATCTTCTGCGTCCTCTCCGCCACGCTCCATACGCGCTCTAATGTCCCTTACTAGCGCTTTTGCATCTTCAACTTCTACACCATCTTGGCAAAGTTCGTTTGCCAATTCCATAGCTCGCTGGTACATGCCACGCATGTACTCCCATCGAGCGAGCCAGAGCCGGGCTTTACTAGTGGTTGCAGTGACCCCAACACCACCAGCGCCTTCGGAGCCCACTTCCTCGTAATCTGGGCCTTCCTCTTGTGCAAGCACCAGTTCCATATATGCAGCGCATTCGTTCATGTTGTTTATCCTCTCGTACAGCAAGGCGATTTGGTAGAGTACTTCTGGATCGAGGATACCACCTCCAAGGCCAGTGACTTCGCCGCTGCCGAAAGAGGCACCAACACCAGCGTCATAGTATGAGCCCGCCACTAAGGCGCGCTTGTATGATCGGATACCGTTCATGATCTTGCCCACTTTACCGAAACATTGGCCGACAGCCATCCATAACTTCGGGTCGTAAGGTCGTAGAGCAGCGGCGCGCTGGTGATAGAAGAGAGCGTATGAGTGCATTTCCAGCACTTCATATGTTTGACCAAGTCCATACCATGCGCGGTAGTCTTTACGATTGACATCGACAGCACGACGGTATGACTCAATAGCAGCATGAGTGTTCTTCATCTCAACGAACTCATGACCCATGAGCGTCCAAGCAGAAAGGAACGTCCGATCAAGAGTCAGAGCTCTCCGGAAGTACATGACGGCCTTCTCATGCTCCGATTTTAGGGAGTAGTAGTTTCCGACCACGCAGCAGGTCTCTGGCCGAAACTTGTCGGTTGCTGTGGCAAGCTGAGCCAAGAAGGCAAGCTTAGGTCGCATGCCCATCACGTACAAGATGTTGGAGTAGTTGTCCAGATGATCGACGCGGTGTGGATCTGATATGAGCAAGTCGGAAAAGATCTGTTCGGCGTCGTCGAAGTCTTTATTGTGGTAATGCAACAACGCCCGCTGGGTCTTTAGAAAAGCCGATGAGGGGAAGATGGTCAGAATTTGCGACAGCGAGGTGTGAATCTGTTCGTTGACTACATAGAGCTCCTGAGACGACGTAACGTGGAAGATGAAAGTCATCAGATTCTGTGGTAGCCGTGTGACGATGTTGTTAAGCTCTTCCATAGTGCTGAGTAGTGCTTGCAGCTCCTGCCACGCACCCCAGTTGTAAGTATACTGGTGAACACTCTTGATGAGGTAGTCGATGGCAAGTTGCTCGTTCTTTCCCTTGGCCAGCACCATGCCATACAGGTACTCTAGCCAGCCCTGCGGTTGCCGTCCGCTGTTAGGCAGATCTCTGAACCATTCTTCTAGAACAGCGGCGACTGTCGGTAGCTCCTTGTTCAGAGTCACGCCGCCATCTTGAGGACCAAGAATCATCTCACTATCCTCGTTCATACGCTTCTCCCCAGCGATGTACTTTGCATAGAGCGCAAGGAACAACGACTTTTGACTGATGCCTTTCATTGTGTCGTTGGAAAGCTTCGACTTGGACGGGGTGACCATCTTCGCCTTTCCCTTGGCCCCCTGCTTCGACTTGGCAGTAGGCGTGGAAGGTGGCTGCGACGCGCCCTTGGGTAAAGGGCCAGGCAGGAAGACGGCGGCGCATCGGTCATATTCACGGCAGTCGAAGTATGTCTTGGCGAGGAGGAACTTGTGCGCTTCACGTGCTTCCAAACGCGCTTCCGTGGGGTCTTTCCGTATGAGGTTGGGTGTTTGTGGAGGTTGGGCGTCGGACATGGAAGAGTCAACGTCGGTGTCCGAGGCGTCGTCGTCGTCATCGGCCGAGGGGAGCGAATTGAGTAGTTCTGCGGCCCTTGTCAACATCAGCATGCAAAGGTCGGTACATTTCACACTCGGCACTTACCATTTGGCAGAGTGGTAGAGACAGCGCTCTGTACACCCGATGACGGCGTCCTGGAGTTGCGCCTTCAATTGGGCCTCGTCGGCCTGAGATAAGGTGCCCATCGCGTGGATATCAGAAAGACAGTGCCCGGTCTCCGCTTCAAATCATTGTCCGATGCTCTTTCGCGTGATGTCGCTGCCGCCGATGCGCGTGTTGATGGTGAGCTTCCTGTAGCGGCAGGGTGGGGCACAAACAATGGCCCGGCGGAACCTTTGACCGCCGCGGAAATTAGACTCCTTCACCGCCCGCACCCCTACATCTGCTACTGCCCCTCTATCTTGACCCTGCTCTGTAAAGATACCCAATTCACTGCGTGCAAGATGCCTACCACACTCAAAGAATTCGAAAGCGTATGGCCGCGCATTGTTGCCGACCTCCAGGAGCACTGCAATGGGTACAAACTGCCCAAGCAGTCCCTTGATTGGTTCACAAAGGTACATCCACATCCCGAACGGTGCATTCAGGGTCCAACTTGCTTACCACATCACATAGTCGCTCGACTACAACACTGTTGGCGGAAAATGCAACCGTGGCATGTCTGTCATTGACACCACTTCAATCCTCCAGAAAAAGACTCTTGACCCCTCATCAGAGGAATACTTCCGTGCTGCTCTCCTAGGATGGATGATCGAACTCCTCCAGGCTTTCTTCCTGGTTTCCGACGACATCATGGATTCTTCAAAGACCCGCCGTGGTAGCCCTTGCTGGTACCTTGCACCCAAGGTTGGCATGATTGCCATCAACGACGCTTTTATGCTCGAGTCGGCCATTTACGTACTTCTTAAGAAGCACTTCCGTCAAGAGAAGAGCTATGTCGACATGATGGAGCTGTTCCACGAGGTTACATTCCAGACGGAATGCGGCCAGCTGTGCGATCTGCTGACTGCACCCGAAGACGATGTCAACCTTGACAACTTCAGCCTTGACAAGTTCACTTTCATCGTCATTTACAAGACTGCCTACTACTCTTTCTATCTCCCGGTCGCACTGGCCCTCTACTACGCCGGTGCAGCAACGCCAAAGAACTTGCAGACTGCAGAAGACATTCTCATCCCCATGGGCGAATACTTCCAGGCACAAGACGACTACCTTGACGCTTTCGCCGACCCCTCCGTTCTCGGCAAGATCGGTACAGACATCATGGACAACAAGTGCTCGTGGTTGATCAACCAGGCTCTGAAGAAGGTCAACCCCGAGCAACGGAAATTGCTAGAGGACAACTACGGCCAAAAGGACTCACAGAAGGAGGCCAAGGTCAAAGAGTTGTACCACGAGCTGAAACTGAAGGACTTCTACGAGCAGTGGGAAGAAGAGCGCGTTGCCGACTTGAGGGCTAAGATCGACAAGGTCGATGAGAGCGAGGGCTTGAAGAAGGAGGTCTTTGAGACCTTCCTCCAGAAGATTTACAAGAGGAGCAAATAAGCCGATGACTAAATATACCATGGACCGTAAAGCCACTTAATTACTGACGATATATAACGAGTCAATCTGAAACCCTTTATACCACTTATGTTGACCTGCTAGTCTACCTCTGTTCTGGGGTGTTTGCTACTTGTCTACCTTCGGAATTAGGGTCCTTGTTATCCAGAGCGGTGTATTTCATATATGCAGCTATGAGCACAAGTATGTGATAAGGGTGAGAAAACAATCGCGAAATTCCTAGAGCGCTGCATGTTGGGATAGTAGACCAGAGCGAGTTGCCTGCCCTCTTGTACGATGGCCAATTGCGCTAGGCCCGGGCCGGCTAATGTGGGGACATTCCATCTGTCGCGAGATCACGCCGCGTCGCGACATATGCCACGCGTATAATCTATCTGCTTCGTTCTCGCCAGAACGACAACACCAACGCGCCTGGTCCCTTGTTAGCCACGCTTCATGACTTATAATTGCTCGCGTCTGTTTTCGTGCCGGGAGTAACCCAAAGGATGGTGGTGCCCGATATCATGGGGGCCTAGCTCTGCGACTCAGGCGCCCAGTCAATCAAGTGGCGCAGTTCACAATGCACCATCCCTCGTCACTAAAAGTATACCCACGTATTCTGCTTCTTGATGCTCTACTAGGCCGCCATGTTTTCGAACTTTGCCAGTGCGATATCTGGTAATGCTCCAGACAAGACAACCAAAGATGAGGGAGCATCGCTTACATCGGTCCTCGAAACACCCACACTACGCGTCGAATTGGCACTCCTCGTGCTCTTAAGCATCGATGCCATGCGAACCGATATCACTGCTACATTCGAGCCATACAACAATCCCGAATCGAACCCCTCCGTTGCGACCCGATCGTCTGCACCCAATACCAAAACACCCACACCAGACCTTATAAGCCTCGACGAGCCGAGACAAACTGCGATAAGACCCTCCCCTTCGAGGGAAAGATCGCAAGAGCATGATTCCACCCAAATGCAAGCTTTGCGACGAAGCGCTTTGACATTCTTCGATCAATGGCGCGCGAGTGTTATGCACCGCATATGCGATGTTGTCTCTGTTCGGGGTGAGACTGTGCGACAGGCAAAAGCGAAGCGAAAGCAAATATCAGAGCAAAACGAACGGCAAAAGCAGGGCATCTCCTCGCTTATCGATTTCGACGACGTCGACCCTTTTGCCAACGCGACATCTAAGCAATCCGAGAATACAAAACATGGTCAGTACGAGGTCATAGAGACTAGACTGCTGGCTCTTGAGGAAAAGAAGCGTGTCCTGATCTTGCATTGCCTTTTGCTTCTCTTGCTGAGCTTGGAACAATACTCGGCACATTCGCGCATCTTGCTGCTACGTCTCGCAAGTAGTCTGAAACTAGAGGTTGATCTGCTGGGCGAGCATGAGAAGTCGGTTGCACAAGGCCTCTTAGCAACGGCTGCCTCACAGATGGACGCCGAAGCAACAGCAAAGAACCAAGCATCCAACGATGCCGTGTCACGCCGCTGGAAGGTTGGCCTCGCAACTGTAGGCGGTGCAGTTCTGATCGGCGTCACGGGTGGTCTTGCTGCACCCCTACTCGCCGCCGGCTTAGGTACAGTCATGGGCGGACTTGGCCTTGGGGTCGTTTCAACGTACCTTGGTGCGTTGGCGGGTAGCTCAGTGCTCGTCGGATCATTGTTCGGGGCCTACGGTGCCAAGATGACAGGGCGTGTAATGGAGCAGTACGCAAAGGAAATTCGAGACTTTGAGTTTCTTCCAGTCCAAGGTATGTCAGCGTCTGAGATGAAGCCTCGTCTAGCAGCTAAGCGTGTCAGATCCTGATCGACCGGCAAACCAGCGCCAACTCGATTGGGCTGATGAACAAGATGCCCGTGACCCTCGGAAACGTGAACAACATCGACTGCGTGTCTTCATTGGTGTCAGCGGGTGGCTGAACTCGCCAGCTGATGTCAGTAAGCCCTGGGAAGTGGTCGACTCTGGAACTACTGAGCCATTCGCGTTGCGTTTTGAGCTTGACGCGATGCTGCGTCTCGGAAACTCACTCAATGACGTTCTTTTCGGATATGCTTTTGACGGTGTCACGTATGCTGTAGTCAGTCGTACGCTTCTCGGAGCGTTGTACGCCGGTCTATGGCCACTCGGCCTTGTCAAAGCTGCCAGCGTCCTGGATAACCCCTTTAGTGTTGCACTTGCTCGAGCTGATAAGGCCGGTAAGGTTCTCGCGCATGCTCTTATCGATGGCGTGCAAGGAAAGAGACCTGTAACCCTCACCGGGTACTCGGTCGGCGCGCGTGTTGTATATGCATGTCTGATTGAGCTTGCGGAACAACACGCCTTTGGTCTCGTCGAATCCGCTGTTCTCATGGGTACTCCTGCACCAGCAAACCCCAAACGCTGGAGGCAAATACGATCGGTCGTTGCAGGGCGTATTGTCAATGTCTACAGCAAGGAAGACTACGTACTCGGCTTCCTCTATCGGTCAGCGAAACTGCAAGTAGGTGTGGCAGGTCTACAGGAAGTCGAGGGCGTTCATGGTGTAGAGAACGTTGATGTGAGCAAGCTTGTCAGTGGGCATGATAGGTACCGGTACTTGGCGGGTACGATAATGGTTAAACTTGGTTTTGGTGATGTGGATTTCAACAAGGTGGCTGAACAAGAACGCGCTCTCGAGGAGGCAGAAAAGCGAAAGGCTCGGGCCCAAAAGGAGGCTAAACGCAAAGCAGCAAATGAGCAAACGCAGAAGCCTATCCCCCAGCCTCAACACCGGCCAGCCCCAACTACTCAAGACTCTTCGAACTCTCTGATAGATTTTTCAGAGCCAGAACCTGCAGCTGCTCCCAAAAGCAACTCCGAACTGTCTGGTTTATCTCTCACACCCTCTGGTACACAAGAGGATCTTTCTCCAAACGTCGATGCATCAGCATCGGTTTTATCTAACGAGCCCTTTCCGGACAGCTCTAAAAGCATTTCTAACTCTACGACATTGCTGCCAGACTCACATGACCATCCCAACACGGAGAACTCGGCCGTTCGCTTAAAGAAGAACGGCACTGACGTCGCTGTTACTGAAGTCCTTGTCCTGGAAGGATGCGATACTACCAAAGATAATAGCACCGGCGATGAACATCAAGATGACTTTGATGATTATGACTACGACGCTGAAGAAGTTAGTAGTGAGTTCGGCGAACTCAGTATGGTCGAACCGTTGCCCATGGACGACAACGACTACGGCTTGATGTAAGGGTACGAGCCGAAGCTCGTTCAAGCACGTCGAACCATGTCCTTGTTGCAACAAGATTGGCCTATCTGTCAGCCCAGAACTGAGAGGTCGCACTTATAGCCATTTAGAGATTCTCCCAAGCCATGCTAGACCAATTGCGTTCCCACGCGAGCTCGCAAGGTCAGCCCAACCTCGTTAGCGGCTCATGTACGCCTAACCATGCATGCTTACACTCAAGGCACCGGCTTTTATGGATACAAGGCGCGCTGCTACAAGCCTCGGGAGGATTTCGTAGATTAGTGAACGTGTGTAAAGAAATAAATTCATCAACAAAGTTGATGGACCTTCATGCATAGCCCATTGTTGAGTAACATGTCCACCACCTCAACAGCAACGCGTCCTACGCCCACACTACCGCCGCCATCCTTCTCCAAACTCGGCCCAAGCATATCAATTTACACTCCACCAGCATACAGCCCTGGCGAGCTTATCGTTTTGTGCACATGGCTTGGCGCTGCACGGAAGCATATCGACAAGTACATCGCGTCCTACCGTACTATTGCTCCCAACGCCAAGATCCTGCTTATCCAAAGCGATGTGGCAACGGTAACAAGCTCTTATCCTACGCAACGCAAAGCTATAATGCCAGCTGTTGAAGTAGTGCGCGCGGTACTTGGTGAATGCACTTATCCGGCATGTATCGCCGCGTCCGTGTTGGAACACCAATCAAAGAAGTATCAAGGGCCCAGAATTCTCCTTCACACCTTCTCAAACGGCGGTCCAATCTCTGCCACTGCACTACTACTCGCCTTGCATACTCAAACCTCCGCATCCCTGCCTTTGGTTGGTATCATCATGGATTCAGGACCCGCAGCAGGCTACTACTGGAAATCCTACAACGCCATGGTTTTGTCACTACCACCAGGTATCCTGCGGTCGGCAGGCTATGTATTCGTACATGGGATCCTCCTTGGTCTGTTTGCGAGCGTGGCATTGGGACGCTATGAGTATCCAGAGGTCTTGGTTCGCCGGACACTGTTAGATGAGGACTTCGTGTGTGGAGCGGAAAACGGCACAAAGAGGAGAATATGCTACCTGTATAGCAAAGCTGACCGCATGACGGATTGGAAAGATGTTGTTGAGCATGCGGATACGGCGAGAGAAAAGGGCTGGGATGTTAGTGAAGTTGTGTTTGAGGGAACGGCACATTGTAATCACTTTGTGAAGAATGAAGGAGTGTATGTGGGGGAGATGAGGAAGATGTGGAGGTTCTAAGCGTTCTAAAGATGAAGTGTTGGTATGGTTCTCAAATGCAGGTGGAATTGACACAGGTACAGACAGTTGATAGATTCGACTGTTCTGACACCAATCTCTCAGTTTCCTTGCTTGACTTGGATCTTCTTGACGATCATGACTCTGGTACTTCGTCGGCCCACGGTATACTGGACTGCGCACCTGCTTTCTGCACCGTCATAGACGCTGCCCTGTTAGCATGCGCAATGGCAGTATCGAGATCGAAATCTGCTCCTCGCGCCATAGCTTTCCAGCGTGCAACAGCAACTGTATACGCGCCAGCGAACGTATCACCAGCGGCTGTAGTGTCGACAACCTTGACTTTACGTGCTGGCACAATGTGACCTTGCTGAGATGCTTCCTGTTGCTTCGCGGTCTTGTAGAACACGCCCTAAACTCGCGTTAGTACAAGTCACAGTGTACCATGAGGAAAGGTTTACCTCGCCACCAAGCGTGATGATAACATTCTTGACACCCCTCGCAATAAACACAGCAGCAACCTCGTCCCACGAAGTTGGCTTCTCGATGCCCGACAAAATTGCAGCTTCGGTCTCGTTAACGATGAGGTGGCCTAAGCCGTGATAAGCCTCATCTGGCAAGGGTATCGCAGGCGCTGGGTTAATAATAGTCTCGACGCCTTTCTCCCGTGCGGTCTTCATATTATGCAACACAACCTCCAACGGCAGTTCCAGTTGGAAAAGCGCAACCCCTGCATCCTCATCGACAAGATCTTGCACTTTCACATCCCCATTGGCACCAGGACAGAACATGATCCTGTTCTCCCCAGAGCCGGTCTCAACGATGATAACGGCAACACCCGTCTTCTTTCCTTTCAAGATCTGTACTTTCTCTGTCGATAATCCATCCTCTCGCAAGGCTTTCAGGAAACCCTGGTGAAACTCATCATCACCCACTGCACCCACCATACGTACTTCCACATCGGAAGTCTGAGATGACGAAGCTTGAGTTTTGGTGCGTGAGAGGCGGGCACAGGCGACAGCTTGATTGGCGCCTTTCCCGCCCCAGCCAATGTTGAAAGATTCACTAGTTAGGGTTTCACCGCCAGTGGGGACGCGGGGTGTGCGGGTTACGAGGTCGACATTCAGGGAGCCGATTACGGATATGACCGCTGGTTTGGAAGACATCTCGATTGTTGGTTTTCGGGTTGTGAGGATTCGATGGTGTTGTATAAGGTCACGCGATGAGGCTCTGGTACGTTTGCCGAAGACGCTAAATTAGGCTAGCCGAGCCGACGTTGTGGGCTCTTTCTTTGCGTGGCATCATCGTGGGGTCAACTATGGGATCTTCTCTTTTCACATCATACAGCATCGCAATTTCCCAGACTGATACAATTGCTAAGACGAAAAGACACATTGAATTAAGACAGTCGGCCAACTCTTCTGTCTACGCTGTCTTTGGTCACTACAGACACCGGAAAACTTGTTCAAGGCTCTCCTATCCCAGGCTTACGAGCCACGAACATATGCATCGGGCTGAAGATGCCCAATTTCCCACCATCTCTGCATGAGTACACACATTCTCCGACTGTATACGAAGCAGTCACACCGTATTGCGGTATGAGACCCAGGAAATACAGCGTATTGATAAACACCCGAGAAGCATAGTGAATTGGCCTAGTCATCCACACACAATAGCTCCAGTCGTACCACGTCGGATAATGTTTGTAATCGATCGCGTGCCTGTATCACATCGGATCAGTACCAAAGTCGCTCATTCGAACAAGAAGGCAGAGGATTACTTACCACCAAGGTATCGGATTAGCCTTAGCAGTAGCACGATCCTCTTCGCGAACCATTTCAAAACCCGCTTTCACCAATGCCGCAATTCTAGTCTTGGGCGTGATCATGTGCGGCACGGCCCCATTTCTTTCAATCCTCCCTCGTATCATGCGATGTTCTGCATTAGAATCATCGTACTTGTCAGTTATGACCCAATCCAAGATACCGATCTTACCCCCAGGTTTCAGCACTCGTAAGGCTTCGGTATATGCTTTATGCTGATCCGGTGCACAACATAGCGCTTCGATGGCAAAAACCATGTCAAACGTCTCATCGGCGAATGGAAGGTCTGAAAACGTGCCTTTAACCATATGCACTTGGTCATGCAGATTCGCTTGCTTATTCAGCTCGTTGCTCCGCTCGACGTGTAGGTCGTTAATGGTGAGGCCAGTGACGTAGACTCCAGCAAAGATGGCCATTTCACGTGCGGGACCACCGACACCACAACCTAGATCGAGAACCTTCATACCGGGTTTGAATTCCATAATGAGTGCTAGGTAGTGTTCGTGACGGGCTGCGGCTGTGGCCCAGGATTCATCGGGTTGATAGCCGCTGAAGTGGAATTTGTTGCCCCATCCGTTCTGATAGGCGTCGGTGACGAAGTCAAAGTAACTGATAGAGCATTAGTATACCTGAGCACTTCATTGTTCGAGTTAATTGGTATGAAACAGGCTCGCACGCTTCGTTGATCTCAGCAGCATTCTTGTCGAGTTCTGCTCTCTTCTCATCCGTGAGTTTATTTCCCACGACATAGTCATTGTCGTAGAGTGTGTCAAACTTGATGCCCTGTCCATGTTCTGTTTGCTCGCCTGGTATTCGTCGTCTCGCTTTGTTGTTCGTCATCACGGGCAATCCGTCCCAATATCCTACTCCGATTGTAGAAGCTCACATGAAAGGACCCAGCAAAGAGAACTGGAGCTGGAGGAGTGGGGAATGCTGCACTTTAACGTTCTTACTGTTACATGCATGGCCTTGGTGTTGCCGGCCCGAGTCGACTTCGATAAACGCGAATTGTATACTCTTTTGGCTTAATATTGTTCTTCTTGCTTGGCAGGCTCGACTTCATTCCTCCCCGCATGTAGCTGGAAGCAAGGACGCCCCACTTACAGGAAACGAGAGTAATCATGTAGGTACACCGGACGAAATGAACTATGAGATCAATTTCTGCTACAAGAACTACAGCGATGTCATACCATTTCGAAACTTACATGGAATACGCCACAATTGAAGAGGATGCATGGAGATTATGAGCGGGGTGTATATGTGAGCTGAGCTGACTACACTTTTTAGCCTGCCGCATCCTATTCTCGCCCTTGGGAAGTGGAGATGATTCAAGCTCGTGAATTTCATGATATGCAAGTCGATGAGCACAAATATCGCTAAGTTGATAGTCATACCAAAACTGTGAGACATTCATTCTATAATCTCTTCATCATGCGACCATACCCAAGAACCTGAACTTTCAACAACAACGTGTGAACGTCACACTTCCTACACACCTAATTCCCACCTTCAACAGGTACGTTGATTCCCAGACTCCTCAGCCTGTCCACAGCAGCCTCTACTAGGAAGTCGTTCCGCTGTATCAACTCCTGTACCTGCTCATTTTCCGCCTTCCTTGAATGACTTGGTACTTTGACACCAGTACTTCTTGCTTGTTCGCTTTCGCTTCTTTGTTTGGCGTTCTGCATGGCTGCTTCAATCTGCTTCGCCTGCTCCTTGTGTACCTCCTTGATCCTGTCGAGACGTTGCCAGGCGGGGTGTTCGCTACCGTCAACATTGTCAGTCAACGTCTCGCTCGAGGGGTCAATGGCGCTGTCCATAGTTTGTAACTCTTCAATCCAGTTGCTCTCTTTTTCGCTGAGCTCACTGGAGCCGATGCTGACCATCTTCCGTCGGAGGGCTTCGTAGCGAGCATTGATACGATCTTGTCGCGCTATAGCCTTCTCCATGCGGTCGTCTATGTTGGCGCTGCCGTATGTCGATCCGTTCTCCGAGCCGGCTTGGTCATTACCAGTGACGCTGTCGATGTTCGTTGCAATCTCAGACGTCCTGTATATTTGATCCCTGAACTCTTCCTGGAGTCGTGTCGCGCGGTTGAACAGATCGGATACGGCGAGCTGGAGTTTAGACGTCTGTGCAGAGAGTACGCGATGGACATCCATGAGGAGCCCCAAGTTTGCAGGAGATAACCTGATTTCATCTTTAAGAGCGCCTCTGTGTCGCGCGGGAATGTTGATAGATCCATAGAGATCGAACGGCTCGTAGAGTTCCTTTGATGGCTGCCACGCCTGACGTACTTCCTTGGTAGGACCGGTGATTGCCATGTATTCAGCAAGCTCTTCCTGGGTAGGGAGACCGTCTTCAGGCGCATCAAGTAGGGCAGCCTGAGGCTCACCGTCTACAGTGGTAAGAAGAAGGTAGCCCACGTTTCCATCTTCAATGACAGCAACTGCGGTCACTTCCTGTTCCGCCAGGTCGCCGGATACGCGTCGCTGTAGGTATTGGTCTACAACGGTGTTCGCCGATTCCAGTATACGCTTGATACGGAAAGGCGAGCCCTCGGTCTGCGGCTGGGAGAGTTCCGTCTCAAGCTTCCTGACCCAAGGCTCCATGGAAACGTAGAAAACTCCACTGGCATGCGATACGAAGAATGAGAAGTCGGTATGCACATCCGGCGTGATGTTTTGATTGAATGAAGGATCGTCGTCTTCCACCAATGTGACGGTTTCCGCGATAATCAACTCATGATCGGTGGTTATTATGGCATCGATTTCGTCTTCCGGAGATGGTAGCCATCGCCCAATGATACCCTCAAGGTCTAGGCAGACATGTACCTTGCTCGTGTCTGTGAGCAAGCACACAACAGCAGTAGGAAGACCTTCTGCAGCCTCGTCCTCTTCGCTTTCCGAAAGGGTCTTGAGGGAGAAGACGATCATGTCGCTGAGCTCAAAATCGTCTACTTCGGGCGAGATGGTGAAAGGCCCCTGTAGCAACGGCACCGCAGGCGCGCTTTGTGGGCGAGCGAAGACCTGCACTGTGTCACCCTGTGGCCGTTCCTCTACAAGAGGTTCCTCGTATATGATGTCGGATAGCCATGAGACCTGCTTCTCCGATGTCTTCAGTTCGTGCTTGGGCGACGTATCATCCTCGGACAGCTCAGCGTAAGCGATGTTGATGGATGAGGTCAGGGTCTGGAGAAAGGTATGGCTGCCGGGTGATTCGATCAGCTGCCATTTGCTCGGTAGCAAAGGGCAAAGGGCGTATACATCTCCGAGCACAGTAGCAATCCACAACGTCATTGGCGCCCAGCCATGGACACCTTCTTGGTCTGGAAAGTCGCCAAAGCATGCAGATGCAACTTCCAGCTCCACCGAGTCGGGAGAGAAACCCTTGGAAGCTCCGAACTTGGAGGCGCTCAGATCGTCCTGATCGCTTGTAGCATTTGCGAGTTTGGGCAGATCGATGGAGAGCGACGGCTCACTGAAGGTAGACCTGTCGGCGCGGTTGATCTCCCATAGCCGGACTACTCCCGCCTTTGTGACGGTGAGCAGACAGCGTCCATGGTAGCCCAGAGGATGCCATAGCGTTGTTGCGACGGGCGACTCTTCCAGCACATGCACAGTTGGTCCCAACTGGAACGTCTTTGGCTTCAAAGGGCCGTCGTCCTCGCCGGCTCCAAGCAACGACGAGTCGGGAAGGTGTATTACGTGTACGGTGTGCGAGGTGGAGACGGCGAGGTAGTCTTCCTCGGGAGAAATGGCAAGACGCGTGATTGGTAGAGGTATCGAGACTCGTAGTGTTCGGTATGCGGGTTGTTGTTCTTCCTTGAGATTGACCAGATCCGCCCATCGTATTTCGTTCCCGACGGCGACGAAGATTTCGGAGCCCCGGGTCGCAATTGTCTTTCGTGGTCCAGGTTCCTGTTTCTTTGCAGCGACTCCATTTCCGTTGGTCTGCTTCGGCGCAAACAGATGATAGCCTGGGTTTGGCCGACTGAGCCAGTCCGGCGTGTAACCCAGTACTTTTGGCATCGTAGAGAGCTGCCCCGAGCAAGATTGAGAGATTCGGAATGTGGGTAGGTAATAGTCGGGTGGTCTGTAAAGGTAAGAGTCTCTGGACAAACAAAAGTTCCAGCCGCGCGATACTGCGCCAAGGCCGACGCGTCTGGGGAGCTCCGAGCTCAACTTTCCACTTCCGAACCTTACACTCGCTCCACAACCACGCTCGATAACTTCTGAACGCTCCGGATACGGTCGCTTAACGTATTTCCATTTGGAACTGGGATAGAGAGTACGCCATCATGCCGGCGCTTCGAAGTACCATTGACCGCCTCGACAAGCCGAGTTCATATGCGACAGCAAAGGTACAGCAGGCTACAAGGCACTAGACAAGCACAACAAGGCTGACTTTCCTCTAGAAGCGCAGACGCGATCGCAACACACGTGACGAAGAACGTGGCCGCTCACCGTCCCCCGAGGACAAGCTCAAGGACGCAACTACCCTCTACGTTGGCAACCTATCCTTTTACACTACCGAAGAACAAATCCACGAGCTATTCAGCAAATGCGGAGAGATCAAACGATTGGTTATGGGTCTCGACCGATTTCAGAAGACGCCATGCGGTTTCTGCTTCGTCGAGTACTACACACATCAGGATGCGCTAGATTGTATGAAGTACATTGGCGGCACTAAGCTTGATGAACGTGTCATCAGGACCGACTTGGACGAGGGTTTCGCCGAGGGCAGGCAATACGGACGTGGAAAGAGCGGTGGTCAGGTGCGCGACGAGTACAGGGCCGAGTATGACCCTGGTCGGGGTGGTTACGGCAGAGCTGTGGACGAATATCACGAAGCGCAGTAGGTTCGCCATCGAGATCCAACAGCCCGAGTTCTACTCGCCCATATTTGAGACGGAGGGAGGATGGGCAGCATTACCTGGTAGTTGAGGAAGCAGTCGATCAGCCCAGTCTTCATCAGATCTCAAAATACTGCACAGGAGGCGTCTGGCGTCTATTATTCGGCATTGCTCATTAATTCTTTAGTCATAAGCAAATGCTTACAGGGAGGAGAGATACCAGTTTAGATACCTTCCCAAGACTTACTACCATCTTCCAAACGCCCTGTCACATGTTCTACAAGAATTGCTGTCTGGGCATGTGCCCTAATTGAAGTGCCATCTGGCACCACCTACATCTCATTTAGTTCGATCCGCAAGTTCAAACTGCTTTCGCCTCTCCGCAGCTTTCATGACCTCTCCCAACCACCAAACATGTATCCGCGGGTCGTCGGTCAGTTCTGGGTGGAAGCTACACCCAAACACGTTGCCCTGCCGTACCGCTATTATGTCCTCCGCACCTGGGTGATTGTGTTCCTGGTTCTCCTGCAACGGCTGGGCGTTGGTCGACAGCGTTGCCATGATCTCGACCTCGCGATCCAACTCCTTCCTCGCCAAATCATCCGCTGGTGTCTTGCTCGGCGCAACAATTGTATCGTCCCTTTCACTCTCTCCTTCTTGTATGCCTACCGCCTTCTTACTCGGAAGTATCTTCTCTACAACTGGCGCGCGGATGAAGACGCATCGGTACGGATCGGTCGCGCTTGTCTTGCTGGTCGACTCTAAGAATGGCAGCTGTAGGTTTGCCTGGAAACTCTCTTGTTGTCGCCCGAAATGATTTCTGTTCACTCTCACGTCTAGGCCTCCGATCAAGTCTTGGCCTCCTTTCTTTGTTCTATTCGCACTCTCTGCTAGTAAGATGAGGCCGGCGCATGTACCCCACGTTGGTTTGCGTTGGACCTTGACAAAGTCGCGGAGGGGCTCGAGAAGAGCGCTACGTGCGGCTACGAGGGACATGGTTGTACTTTCGCCACCAGGGATGATGAGGCCGTCGCATTGTGCGAGTTGGGCTGGTGTCCGGACTTCGATGAAGTGGAAGGTTGGTGACGAGGGGATGTTCGAGGATGCCGCACGAAGGAGTTGAATGTGCTCGCTGAAAGCGCCTTGGAGGGCGAGGACGCCGACCGTTATCTCTGTGTTTCCTTCTTTGACCGCCATTGTGAATCACGAACAGACGCCAAAAGAACTCCGTTACAGCAAGGAAATAAGGAATTGGAACGTCTAGAAAATGTACAGTCATATCACGGAAAGCGACGGCAAATGCTAAATCTGTATCGATAAGCTCCATCCCCACTGTAAGCGGTAACTTGCCCGCCGGGCACATGTCACTCAGATACGCTCAGCCCTGCTCGATCGCTTACCCCGAGGAGGTGCCACCCTTCGATCTGCTCTCCATCATCGACATTTCGGGTTCCCCACTGATCCCGTGAACGGCCATGACATGTAGATTTCCGTTTGTCGCACATCACGTCAAGAGAACCACAAACAAAGGGTCCCACGGTGCATATAAGGCCAGAGTCCTTGTAGTAGTCTAGTCTTACGCGTCAAACTACTTTAGCCGACGCGCAACTCGATTACAGTCTAGAGGATTCAGGTGAAGGCGCTATGATCGACAAACAGGATGGAGGCTCAACGGGACACGGTCTCACGTGCTGGCTGCTGGATACAAGATCAATATGGCCTGGAGAGAAGATTACAGATTCAGAATCCGTATGTCCATGCCATCGCATTGTGTCTATCAACTGACAAATGTCAGGCCCGGGAAGCACTCTCGCTCATCAGCCAGGAAGAACAAGACCTCATAAAACGCAAATACCACGTAGCGGATGCGCGAATGAGCCTGGGATCCGCCCTCCTGAAACGTCTTTTTGTTCACAAAACTCTGAACGTCCCTTGGAAAGACATCCTCTTCGGCCGAAGACGCGATCCCAAACATGGAAAACCAATCGCCCTACTGATACCACCCCAATATGGCCCTGCGCCCGTAGAATTCAACGTCAGTCATCAAGCCGGTCTAGTCGCCCTCGTAGGCTGTTCAACCCATGAACTCGATGCCGAAGTCGGCGTAGACATAGTCTGCGTAAACGAGCGGAACGATTATCGCGTTGTCGACGAAGAAGGCTTCGACGGCTGGGTAGACATGTACGCTGAAATCTTCAGCACAGAAGAGTGTTTCGATATCAAGTACAACGTCGACCCATTTCCTCTTCTCGATGGCACAATGGTCACACATGAGATTCTAGGAAGACACGATCGTTGTTGTCATCGAAACGAGCATTTGAGTGTTACGCTACCGAACGGGGAGCAGAGGGAGCTTGATTCAGATCTACTCATTGATGCGAAGCTAAGACGGTTTTACACGTTCTGGTGCTTCAAAGAGGCCTATATCAAGCTTGATGGTGAGGCTTTGCTCGCTCAGTGGATTCCACAATTAGAATTTAAACATGTTCGTGCACCGAGGCCGGGGACTCCAGCCCGGTGTAGTACACACGGTACCTGGGGTGAGAGATACAGCGATGCGGAGGTTTGGTTCTCCATGAAGGGAGAGGAGAAGGGACCTGCGGGTATAAGGGGTTTGAAGAAAGGAGAGTCCAGGAGGTTGGAGGATACAAGGGTAGAGATTCAAGCTTTTGAGGAGGACTTCATGATTGGGGTTGCGGCTAGGGAGAGGAGGGATCCTGTGGTCGATGGGACTAAGAAGAAGCTACCGGATGTGTTGACACACTTCAGGGGACTGCATTTGGAGGAGGATGTCATGAGTGTTGCCAGGAGTGCGTAATGGCGACAGCTAACCAGCTGCACTGCGCTAATGTTCGCAAACCATAGTCCATGAGCTCAGAAATGTCTCGGTGTCTAATTCCAGAGTGTACGTGTCTTCTATGGGATGTTGGCTGTTTTGCTGGTGCACGAGTTAGTAGAAGCGCACCGAGACTGGGATGTTTGGTTGTGCAGGTGAGTAAGCTGACCGACCTCGAAAGGACCGAACGGCAGGCGCGTCAACTTTGTTCCATGCTAAGAGTCACCTACAACATCACCTGGGACGGCTGCAACTCAGATAGACTCTGCAAAATTATGGGGAAAGTTGAGATGTTTGAGCACCTCATGTCAGTGGTTAGCGTGAACATACGCGTCATGGTTGCTGGACCCTGAGCGCATTTCATGGCTACGTCAACGCTTAATCCACAACCATATACACCGCGCCTACCCCAATATCCGCCGTACCAACAATTACCTATTCGCTCTCACATAACCAATTCAACGATACGTCGAGACGGCCACATTCAAAACTGCAAAAATGTCCTCCAACTCGCTCAACTACCCACTGCTCGCCATCCCGGCCTACTATGTCTTCTCTCTCGTCCCGCACATGTACGCTGGTAGCATCCTCTCCGCCAATGGTTACAAGGTCAACAACGCAAACCCCAAGGCTTCGTTGTCACCAGATGCCGTGAAGGGCAAGGTTCCCGATGCTGTGTAAGACTTGCCCGAGCTCGTTACTTCGAGGCCTCTCCTTCGAAATGTACTAACGCATGTGCAGCTTCCAGAAGTACCAGCGTGCCGAGAATGCCCAGTCCAACAACATTGAGCAACTGCCCCTCTTCGCTGTTGCCGTCATCGCCAGCATCATCGCCGAGCGCACCACCGCAACTGGAATCGGACGGGAGGTCGTCTCAGGCGATGCAACAGGCTTGACAACATTCGTATCAGCTTTCTTTGCAATCAGGGCGGCGTACGCTGTTTCATATGTGCAGATTGCCGACCACTCGAAGAGCTTTATCAGGAGCAGCTTTTGGGCAATTGGTTTCGGGCTATCTGCATACCAGATCTACAAGGCTGCTGCGATCCTGGGTTAGAAGTAGAGGGAGACAAAGTACTGCAATGAGCAGGAAGAGCATGACACATCATATTCGATTCAGGAACTCGATAACAATAATACAATACCAACCAATCGAATCTTCGAGAGCGCGCAATGAATACTTGCATGATATGAGTGTAATATGGTTGGAATGGCAACCAGAAGAAGGCCAGTATGTACTGGATTTACGACCAATTTCAACAGAGAAAAGGCGCGGCACGGAAAAGCCGTACACTTACTCTGTTGAGGGAGCTTCACCTACGTCATCGTACATATGCGCATGCGAGCAATTACTAGTTCAGGCAACGCGCAAAGCACTCAATTGATGATAGCGCAACCATTGAATTCATGATTTTCTTCAAGGTAGGCCCGACCTTGAATCGTAAGTGTGGGACCGTTATCTCGGTGGTTCACGTCGGCAGTATTCGCGTGTCAGGGTTCGCGTACCTCAGCCCCGAACTATTTCTTGTGGGATCCCAGCATCCCCGACGATTTGGTTCTGTATCCTCGCTCGTTCGCTTCCTGTCCTCGTCGATTCTTTTTGAGTGCTGAAGAGCTGGTGATAGAAAGAAAATGTGGTCGACAGCTCCCCTCAAGGCAGCCACATGGCTTGCATTCGCAACTTCGCTCAGCTCAGCTACACCGCAGTATGGTGCTCCTCCAAAGATCCAATTCAAGCACTGGCCCGAAGAAGCTGCGACAGCTCTCTCCAACATGATCACAAAGAACGCGAATCAGAGCAACTATGCAGTCTTCGACATGGACAACACCAGTTATCGCTATGATCTTGAAGAATCGCTCCTTCCCTTCCTTGAGAACCGTGGCATCCTGACACGCGACAACCTGGACCCCAGCCTCAAGTTGGTTGACTTCAAGGATACGGCCAACTTCACCGAATCGTTGTACAGCTACTACAACCGTCTATGTGAGATCGATGATTTCATCTGCTATCCCTGGGCGGCGCAGGTCTGGTCTGGCTTCACGCTGCGCGAACTTAAGACTTACGTGGATGAGCTTATGGCGTACAACTCAACAATCCCGACAAAGTACTGGGACGGCGATGAGGTGACATCCAGCAGCGTTAACCCGCCAAAGGTTTTCCGAGGCCAAGCCGAACTTTACAACGCTCTTATGGACAACGGCATCGCCGTCTATGTTATAAGCGCTGCCCATGAGGAGCTTGTACGCATGGTCGCCAGCGACCCGAAGTACGGATACAACGTCCCACCTCAGAACGTCATCGGCGTCACCACCGTTTTGAAGAACACTACTTCCGGTGCGCTCACGAACGCACGTAAGCAGATTACTGAAGGCACGTACAATGAGACGGCCAATCTCGATCTGGTCGTGACTCCGTACCTCTGGACCCCTGCCACATGGTTCGCCGGTAAATGGGCCGCTATTCTTGCCTACATCGATCAATGGAAACGTCCTGTCTTGGCTGGTGGTGACACTCCCGGTAGCGATTCGTACATGCAGTTCCACGGCGTAGATGTAGCGAAGGGAGGTGTGCACCTGTGGATCAACCGTCGGGACGCGTACTTCGAGCAATTGCAGGAGGAAATTAGGAACAACACCCAGGCGCAGATTGCTAACGGTAGAGAAGTTACGGCAGACAAGAACTGGGTTGTTGTCACTCCTGAGGAGATCTTGTAAATAGATACGCTAGATTTTTGGAAATGTCAACATTCGGCGCGCAATGGCACGAGAACAATAGCTTAGCACAGGCGGGGCCCCAAGGAGACCAATTACGCTAGCTGACATAAGCACTCGGCTAAGCCCTGTTGCATCTTTCGCTCGCGTCCAGCCTTCTGCTAGTAATACCATCGACGCGTCAAACTCACCAAGCATCTTACCTATCATCTCATCAAGTATCTTGCCAAATGACACGCTAGCAGCGATTTTGTCAAGCACGCGTAAAAGCAAAGCGTGCGCGGGACTAAGGTACGTCATGTCTACTTTGCTTTCCAATCCATTCCTACCCAAATGATGATTCCAAACTATACTTGAACCGAGAATCTTCGATACTGCTCTTCCTTGGTGAGCCATGTGGTTTGCATTTGCTAGCCCGGGTGCATTGGGTTGTGGCAGGTTTCAGATTCGATGCGCGAGTGAAAGAGAGCACTGATGGTACACGAACATTGCACGAAAACAGCTGTCTCATGGTACTGTCAGTACTAACATCGCTCAAATAGCTTCAAAATATACCTTTCCGATATGAACTCAATTCAGTGGTATCTAAAACGCCGATCCAATGCAACTCGAATATCATCGAAAGAACCTGCCTCATCATGCTTCTCTT